CTCGGTGCAGAAAGAGCTTGTGCCTCCAATCTCGTCTTTTCTAATTATTACAACTTGAACTACAATCATCTACAACACCCTTACCACACATTACCGCGCTTAAACACCTTCTTTGCCTACTACATATCCCCTCTACTACCCCCCTACACTACTACAGCACCCAGTTACCCATTTCACCCAAAACGAACCACAATCTCTTCACGAAATCAAATTGAAGTAAGTTTCCACCCACCATCACAACCTCCTGCTGCAGTACCGGTACCGTACATTATAGTACAGTGCGGCACAACCCGGAACTCGCTAGCTCCCACTCCCCACAAAGGTATCGTCAAAGTTAACAATTTCAAGGGAACAGGCAAGCAAACAAGCTCCGCAGAGGTCTTCAAAGCTAGAGTAAGCCCAAAATACCACAGCCATCTCCACGAACATTTACTCCTTCTGCCTTTCCCTCTCTCTACTGCGCACCACATACCTACGATAAACCGGGGAGGAGTGAAAGAGAGCGCCATACAGTCCTCCCCACTCTCACACACCTACACACACTCCTACAATTAATTATTTTCCGTCAAGGGGAGGGGGGAGCCAAAGAATTATTTTATTTGACTCCCTACGATAGGACAAACGAAAGGAGGAGCCAGGATTGTTTTCTTTTTTCATCTTTCTTAACAAAAAGCCATTTTCTTTCTTTCTTTCTGCTTAAGCACACACGCTCATGCTATCCATAAAGGGAATGTTGGTGGCCGAACCCCCCATAAGCCCTAAGCGACCCGCAAGCGGAGAACAGCAGCCCCCATCACCAAGGTCTTCTCCTGAATCGCAAAACCTACGGGAAAGAGAGCAAAGGGGAGGGGATTCACCGAGGGACAAACAAGGTGTTGGAGCTTTGCTTGCGGCGATAGATGCTTCGGGGGGGTATCGGGGAGGTCTCCAACCACCACCCCCACCACCACCGATGATGACGAAGATGACCTCGTCGCAGGAATTTACGCAGCATAGCGGAGAGGTAAATACATTCTTCAATTCGCCCCAAAGATTTAACCAGCAGCCCCCAATGATTAACGGTTTTCCCAAAAAGCAGAGAACCCCCGGCCCACCCCACTCGCGAAAGCGAAAAGCCTCTGAGACGCCCGGTTCCTCCGCGCCCACGCCCACGCCCGCAGCAAAAAAACAGAAGCGAGCGCCGCGCCCACCATACACAAAGGAACAAGAAGACTTCATCTGGTTCTGTCGGGACGACCTGGCAATGTCCTGGCGCAAGGTTGTGGAGTTATATAACCACTACTGGCACCCGTTCGAGAGGGAGCCGCATATTCGATCCGAGTCCGGGTTGCAGTCGCGGTATTACCGGATCCTGGACTTCCCGGTCAAGATTCGGAAGAGGCAGGAGCCTTCAAGGCCGGATTTGGGACTTATACCTTCGACGAATAGGCGGTATCCTTGGATGGGGGTGCTAACAGATAAGAGGGATAAGGAGAACTGTGTTGCCGGTGGGGGGGTGGTTTCGGGGGGCGTTGGTGTAGGTGTTGCAGGTGGTGATGGAAGGAGCCCGAATATGAAGAGGAAGGCGATGAGTAGCGGTGGAAGGAGCCCGAATATGAAGAGGAGGGCACTGGGCAGTAGTGGTAGCGGTGGGGCGATAGCGGTCGTAGGCGATGATGGGAGAGCAGACGACGAAGACACCGCAGACGAAGGGGACGGAGACTGCGGTGGTGGCGGCGACCTCCACGAGACGAACACAGTAGGTCCTGCTTCCCCGAATAGTAGCGGCAACGAACACCCCCACTACCAACAGCACCACCGCCATCACCACCCCCACAACACCCCTACCCGACCTCTACCACAGACGAGCAACCTCCGTCCTTCAAATTTCCTCACAAACATTGACCAGCCAAACTCGGACTGCCACGAGTCCTCCTGGACAACCTCATCGTCTTCGTCCCCGCTAAACTCAACCGCACAACAACACCACCAATCCCGCTGCACGTACCCCCGTCCTCCGGATCGTCTAATGCCCGTGGGCACGCTCCTAGAGCACATCGGAGCACCAAGGTCCTGCGGTCGCGCACGTATTCCTAGGGGAATACAAACCCGGTACAGAGAGGGAGTGCCCGGGGAGGGTGAAGGCGACGGTGAAGCTGAGAGGGAGAGGGAGAGGAGGCCTGAGGCCAGGAGAGTGGACCCCAGGCTTTCGGTTACTAGCTTGTGTGTTTAGTTCACGCAGCTGACGGGTGTGTATTATAACTCATTCTGTATTGTATTCTCCGAGACCACCTCTCGAGTGTATCCAGAATCTCTTTGCCGTTCTTCCGTTTCTGTTCCTGTTCCAGTGAGTGGTATTTCGGTTTGGTTTATTTCCTGCTTTGCTAGACGTTTATTAAACGATGTCACTTGGGTGGCTGTTCTCGTTCCATTTCCTATTTTGTTGTATAGCTTACTTTTCTACACTGTACTGTATCCTCCTATACGTTCCATCCATACATCCCGTCAATTATCTCATCTTTTTTCACTTCACCTCACCACGTTATAGAATTATTCCCTTTTCCTTCCCCCTCCTGCTCAACCCATCAATCGATGGGCATGTATTTCTCTAGCTTACTACGTTCCGGGCGTTCGGGTGGCTGACTGCATTTTTTTTTCCCCCTCATCTTTCCATTCATTCCAGTATTCGATCACGTTATCCAAAAAAAAAGGCTTTATATAATACCGTATACGACTTGGGTGGAAATGTTAAAAAGGTGCATCTGAGTGAGCATGATAGATGGGAGGAGATGGTTTAATTTGTTACTTTCCACCAATGAGGGTAAACTGGCTTGTAGGATAGCGTGTTGTTGTTATGTATGAAGAGAGAAGAGTAATATGATAATATGATAATCCGATATGATATGATACAATCGGGTATGTGGGACAAGAAAGAAGAAAGAACCCTTGTACTGTACGAGTATACCTGTACCTTTTACCGTACCGTATATACTCGTGCGCATTTCATAAAACGTGAGTTAAACGTGGTCAGGACTTGGGGGCGGACGGCCGGGGATGGGTAGGGGGGGTAGTATTGGTTGTTGTTTTTTTTCTTTCTCTTTTCTTTTCTTTTCGTTAAATCCATGGTTTTCCCTAAGTCACGGTGCAGCAGGACAAGCATTTCTTGGGGAGATGGACAGCATCGTACGACTGTCGCACGGCGGGTTCAATATTATACGGCATTTTTATTTATGATATTTATTTACTCGAGTATTTATCCCGGTCGCAAGCGGGAAAGTTGCTTGCAATCACTGTACAATGTTCGATAGAGTGAAACCCCAATCAAAACAACACGAAAAGTAAACCCCCCCCAACCTCCATCGATAGAAGGAAAATTTTTATACGACTCGAAGAAGTGAATGAATGAATGAATGAATGAAACCTGGGGAGGAGGAGGGGGGGTAACATAAACGAGAGAGAGGATTCTAACTCTTGCCTCCACCACTCCCTTCTCTCCCTCTCCCTTCTAGCCCGCCCGCCCGCACTGCAAGGATACCCGGTACACTTTAAGTACAGTCTGTCTATCTACCTGCCTGTCGGATTCGATTTCTGAAACTCCGGGGGCGGTAGCTAATATATGTGCACTTTATCTCGACTCGCGAGGTTACATGTACGAGTACAGTACACCGCGGTACCATCACACGCGGTGCGCTTAATCATGATTTCTCAGTTCCGAGCTTCCCCCCCCCCAATTCCGAATCCCATCTCGCTCGCTGGGACGGAATGTTGTTGTTTTTCATCTCGCACTGTAGAGTACAGTAGAGCTGGTGATGCCTAGGGTAAAGTGGGATGAGGCTCCAGTCGCATGGACAGTTTGATTTGCTCGAGTAAGTTAGGGGATACCGTAGTTACTGTACGTACGGTCACTCTAGGTGAATTCGCCACGCGAGGTACCATGCGGATTCACTACCGGTATGTCATGCAGGGTACCGATAGGTTTATGTTGTTCCTGACAAAGGCACATTGCAGTTACCGTACTTGCGATAAGTGACTTGTACGAGTACCGTACTGTACGGTACTGTACTTGTACTTCTAGTACAAGTGCTGCACCCGCATACAGGGATTAAGGAGGTACGGTACCGATAGAGAGTTTCTGTACGAGTACCTGTACAAATGGGTGCGAGAAGGTGAGTGCGTGAAAAATCAACCACCCCTATTCACAAATTGATTGAAATTCATGCAAGCCACAGGTTAAATCCGGCATGTCCTTTTATAAATATATATACATTCTGTGGCTTCCACATGTATGTAAGAGGGGGGGGGTAGGTGATTGAATTTTGGCTCTGGCCATCTGGTGTGAACGGGGGTCGTCTGCCCTTTTCAACCTCTTCGCACCATAATACGAGTATTATTGCGGATGAAAACAAAATATGTGCGTATCTGAGCGCCAATGCATATACCGGGACGCCTCCTTGTTTTGGGGGAACTTTTGGGCTGGGACAAGTGCTGTACTGTACAGGAAGACTGGTATTGGGCGATTGGGGTGCGGTAAGGGTACAAGTGGACCATGATCATATCTTGGATTGGTTTGATCATCGCTCGCTCACTGTTTTGTTCTGGCTAACCGAGATAGTCGCACACAGAGGATGAATATCACCACCACCCTGCGGGGTCTCCACGAGTAGAAAGCGGTGGGTGACAAAAAACAAGGATCAGTGACAGTTTATTTTTGTCACCATACCCCTGCCTGTCTTGCCAAATACTCGAGTACCGTACTTGCACAAGTACTGTACCAGTACCCGCGTAGTTCAAAGATGTCGGGACACCTTGGCGCTAGATTCTATTCCCTTTGTTGCGCCTTGGCGTTCAGATTGTCCGGACACTTATGAAATAGGCGAGTCCCCCTATAGTATTGATCGCCCTTCCACCTTCCATGACCCACCCGCACGAAACCCACAACCTCCACGTGCGACCAACCAACCAAACGGCCAAGCAATGGAAAAAAAGAAAGAACAACAAGAAGCAGAAGAAGAAAAAATTCCTCAGGAAAAGACGGTAAATTGCCGTAACTTCACTCGAGATCCACGCGGAAAGCCCTGTTTCAGATTGGCGAATTGCCGGAACCAGATCGGGGTGCGCTGGGGGGGAAGGTCTAGACTTTTGAGCCTGGGCGAAAAAGTAAAATAGTTTATATCAGATGGAAACATGGCTTGTTTATTTTTATCGGTTGGGGATGTGGGTTTCCACCGGTGCCATACCATACCGATATGATATAAGCACCAGCTTTCTACGATGCGATGCGAGTACAGCACTTCTTGCGACAGCGATGTTTGAAGGAGGTGGAGGTTGTGCAAACATACCGATGCTATAGCTCCGCACGAGTTACCGCAGCGAGAGTGCTCGATGTGAGGGGGGGGTCATGCGACGCGCGCTTGTCTTACTGAACAGTTGACTGGACTCGACCAGACCGGACTAGCTGAGGGGAACTTCTAGTGAGTTGTTGTTTGTTGCTGCTGTTGTTATGCCATTCTACCGGTACGCTATGCAACACCCCGTGACATGCCGACTAGGGTCCTGAGGATTTGCTCTGGCAACTGGTTGTATCATAGGTTACCGCAAAACCCAACCCCCCCCCGGAGTGTTGGAATGACGATTGGAATTGACTGAACTGGATGAGTCCCGTAGGAATTCACGGCATGTTCCTGCACCGAGTTGTTGCCGAAGATCACGCGAATGGATTGTACGAGACTCGGGTGCTGTACCCCCCCCCCTGCACATCCGCCCCTGCACATCCGCTGAAGAAAAAAAACCAACGATCAACTGGAAGTTCGGAGGGGGATGAAGACATCATGGTTGCGGGTTTTGTTGAGGGCGAAAGTGCTGGTTCATAAAAGTAGGGTAACGGAGATATTCATGTTGTCATGGTGATCCCTGTTCGTCACTTGGTTTTTCCCCGTGCTCGGGGTTGAAGAAGTGCCCTTCCGTCGGTCCGAAGGGTTTATTTTATTACATAAGAGACCAAAGAAGCCTCAGGCTGCGGAGGTCAGCTTGGCTGCAGATCTTCCTTCACTGAGGAATTGGTGAATGCTTCAAAAGAGGATGGTAACGCATAAATTTAAATTAATCCCGGACTTGTATAACACCTTTTCTCACATAAGTTTTCTACACACAGAATGAGCGAATCTTGCATCGGTACAATTCCCCCCCCTATCATAACACGAAATGCAAGCATCAAGGGGCCCAAAATCCCCTCCCGTGATCATGAGCAGCATACTGTAGGCTACATATGCAACACAATTCTTCACACCTTTCTCAAGCACTGCAGTCACCAAACGGTTGTCAAAAAGAAAAAACCAAAGTGCGGTAGATACACAAATTACCTGTAAAATTTCTCCTCCAGCCATCGCGCCAAGAGTGTCGAAGGAATCTTGGCCAATATCTTTTTTCCACAGATACTTTTGTAACGCGCCGTTACTCCAGGGCCCGTTGGGCGCAGGGAGAAAAATACTCACGTTGGGTTGGTGCGGTTGGTGGGAAATTTTCGCCACCCTGTCAGAAATTTTTAGCTCGGTGGAGGGAAGGGGTTCGTTCGTTGTTGGTGGGGTTTGTCGGTGGTTAATTTAGCTCTAACTGGTAGAGCGCATCCGCCATACCCGCGAAATGGATGGGCGGAAAGCGCAAATGGGTGGTGTTGAAGTTTTGTCGCTCTTCAAGGATGAATATCGCTTCCCTATGCGGGAGGAGCCGTCTCTCTAATCCACATTTTAATCTTGTTTGCGCGAATGATGTTTTTTTTTGGGGGAGAATCCAACACTGGAATCTAGTGGAGAATGTTATCTGTGGCTGGTGGGAGAAAAATATCCAACAAACGTCTGGAAACTAGCACCCCCAACGCTGATCCTCTCTTGGAAAAACACTCTGACTATGATACCCCCGCCACACATCCAGCGGTGTTTGATGCTTATACAGTATGATCCGCGAACCGAGTCATCACAACATCTCACTCGAAGGAGGCCCGGCGGCTCGTGAGACGGAGGGGGAGATGCTGAAGATTTTTAGAAAACGGTGGGGACTTTTACAACCTCTCTCTGGGCACTAGCGCAAGATCATCCGCCGTGGTTTCACGGAAGACGGCGAGCAGCACAAAACGTGGAAAGAGAAGATGAATCCTGTATCACTCCAAGCGCGAATGGGAAAGTGCTCATCAAGGCTGTGAAGCTAACGGATGTTTGTGCAGGGGTAACTTATGGGTTGTCGAGTCAATTCCTACATTTTGGCTTGAGCTTGCCCGTTATGAGTACATCGGCACCCCGTTACCTTAGCCTTGCTGCAGCGGTTCTTGTGTTTCCTTTTCGTGTTTGGAGGAGATTGGTGGCTGCTCTCGGAGGGGGGTGATATTCGCTCGGAGGTGGTCCGTATCGTCGCTCCGTTTCTCAGGCATGAACTGTGTGTGGGGAGGGGGGGAGTGGGGAGTTGGCCAATATGCGGAGAACGTTACCGCGTTGCGGATAGAGGCCGTCGCTCAAGTGGCCTATCGTCGGGCTCGGATTTGCCAGGGGGGGCATCGGGGATACTAACTATTGGGTCCTCAATGCCAAGGTGCTTCCATATTTTGCTCAACGATTCTTGTCTAAAAAATGCACCTTGCATCGCGGAGCTTCTCCAATCGTTGCTGGATCCCTCGATTTTTATCGGCATCTCGGACATTCCCCCTCTAATCACTCAGTTATGCTCCCCCCGCCTAATAATAGCCACGCGGATAAATGTGTATGCACCCTACCTCCCCCAAGCGGCAATCGCGTCTAATTGGGTTTGCTACATAATCCCAGATTCTGAGATACGTACTGTACGGTTCAGTGCTGTCGGCCGCCTGCATTATTGGAGGGGAAAAATTAAACGCTCAGGTTTGAATGGGAGTTCCCAATTTGGATCGTGATGCTTGTTTGCGGCACGGCGAGGCCCATAATTTTTTAGTTTCCTGAGCAGCCACGTTTCCGGTATCAGGGTACCCTGCCTAATCTTGGTATGGGGCGATTTCGATATGGCCCGGATATAAGGTTTGGGGCAGGGGATTTATGGAGGGTTCTATTGTCGGCATACTAGCGTTTACAGGAGCACTCCTCGATTTCGGTGACCTCGGTTGGCTATTTGGTCGCTGTCTTCTGACGAAAAGCCAGTACAAGTGCCGTAATGGCGTTATCGGGCCCACCCCCTCCCCCCCATCCCATCTCTGAATAAGGTTCAGGGAGGAAAGGGATGCCGAGAGACCATCCAGTGAAACACAATTGATGAAACACCCTTCTCCCAAGATATTGGACGAAATGGGTTTTGGGTTGCCTTATTCCCACCCTTCCATTGATACTACACCGTTACTGCGGAACCTGTTCTCACAATTTCGCCTCAAGGAGGAGGAAGAGGAGGCGTTGGGCCTGATCGGATTGGGGCGGTTGTGGCACGAGGGAACCACCCTCCTTCAGTGTGCGGAAGTTTAAGTTATCACCGGTTCCCCCTTCCGCAGCGCTGCGGGAAGTAGGAGGGTTACATACATACAATAGGTGGGCGATTCAGCGAATGGAACAGGTTGTGCTTCTAGCCGTGTGCAGGGGTTTGAGTGGTGGATCGACTTGATAGGCAGGTGTCACGACTTCGCGAGGGGGGGGTATTGTTGACTCCTTACATACGAGTAGTGCAGATATGAATATATATTCCGAAAACCTATGGCGCCCGGAAAACGCGCACTTGGACTCGCGGGGGCCTGAGGAAGTAATTGCTAGTGTGGTGTTTCTAAGGGTGGAGAAGAATCCCTTTGGTTGGGGCCTTGTTGGTGGGTTCATGATCGTCGCTCGAGCCTTTATCTATATGTGCGCGGCAGGCCTGAATACGGGCATGATCGCTTTTAACTTCTAAACGCTGTCAGAAGCACGAGTTATGGATTATCCTTGAGAGCGAGTGAGCTTCTAATTTTACCACCCAGAGTAGGACTCTGTTCCCCGTTTTTTATCATCATCACCTCTCTCGACTGCGGGATATGCTTACGGGTGACCCACCCGGGCCACCATCGGTATCTTCACAACGGGTCTTGTTAGGATTTGTGGATAAGGTTGCGCTTGTACTGTGTTTTACAAACGATCTGCACTTTCTATTTAGTCAGGTGGAGGCGTTGGGACAAGTGATCTCAAAGGTCTCGGGGGCCCGGCGTGCCCTTTTGGAGGCAACTAAAGGAATCCGACCGGAACAGGACGGAGGTTTACAGTCTGCATGATCCTCAAATTTTGGAAGAAGGGTTTTTCTATCAAGCCGACGTCCCAAAAAGGATGAGACACCCTGTAATGCCCGAGTGGACTTGGCTGAAGGTTATGACAATCTGCCATCGGTTTCCACAAAAGACCATGAGGGAGAATATGGGTATCTGTTGGGGACTATGGTGGAACTCCTGTGGGTAAGTGATAGTAGGACTAGTTGGTATGACGAATTGGGGGCGTTGAGTGGGCGAACTGTTGGGAGGGGGGATACCTGGGGGGGTGGCGGAATTGTTTGGAATTTTCGAGGTTTTCTTTTTCCGTTTTATTTCTTCCCGCATCGGGTTTTCGCTCTATGGAAGGAGGGATGCGGTGTATCGGTTCAGAATTGAATTTCTAGTAAGGGCGTGTTCTACGCGTTCTCTCGCGATCGGAGGTATTCTAGTGGGGAGTGAGGGGGGATGGTTGGGGTGGTAGTCCGTGTCGTCAGGTATGATGAGTGGATGGATATTAATAAATCTCCATCCCGCAACATGATGACCGTCTGTTCAGGGCCAGGATCAATTACCGCGCAACCGTCTTGACGTTTCTGCAAGATGTCATGGCAACCTACTCGGAAATATCGCTGATTGGGGCCTTGGTAAACTTTGGGGTCCAAAAGCTTGACGACAAGTCCCGGGATCCAACCGGTTTGATGGCCGCGAAACTGGAGCGATGAGGGATTATCTCGAGTCTCTCAAACCATCGTATTTTACACCGCATCTAGTGCTACACTTGGCTACCCCTATCCAAGAGGAGTTAAATCGTCTAGACTTTGAAAAGAAAGGGAGAAAAGGAGATTTATTTTAGCTAGAATTCTGACTTTCGCGTACTGTGCTGTGCAGTACAGTAACAAGCTCGGAAACCACCATGCAGCCGAGTTCACAATTCGTTCATTGGAAATCCCATAACGGCGACGATTGCGAAGGCACTTAAACGGAAAAGGCTGGCGGGAGGTTATTCTCGGAGTCTGGGACAATATGAAGACCTTAGATATGCCCCAAAAAAGGAAAAAGAAAGAAAAAAAACACTACCGTTAGTAGTTTCATGACCCATTCACCTCTGCCACCACGCGCGGGCGGCTACACCGTGTTAATTTCAACACGACCGCCCACGTTGCGGAAAAAAAAGTTGAATACGCTATCCCAATGTCACAACGACGGTTTATTTTCTTGAAAAGGGGATATGGTTTTTACCGGTAAGGAGGGATGGATCTCTCGTCAGCGTTATTTTTCCGGTGCAATAAGCTGCCGACGCGGAGATCTCCACCACCCAATGCACGAGCCACATTGTGGCTTGTGAATTTTGTTTCGGACACAGGAGGCGATTTCCCTGTTTTATCTCGTTGCAGTTCGATAGGGACGAACTGGTGGGGTAAAAAGCTATAATAGGGAATGGCCGGGGGGGGTCTGCGACACATGTATCGAAGAGAGACATTTGGGTCTGTCACTCTGCGAAGGAATACGGTCTTGGTGGAGAGAGGTTGCCGGGGTTGCGGTGTTTGAAGGTCGCACAAGGGTTACGGGCGGAGAGATCAAGCGGAGGAGATGAAAAATACGGCAAGTGGAGAAGAAATAAACGATGGGTA